CAAGGCCTGGAACCTATTGGTGAGGGCTATCCTGAATTCGTTGAGCTTTACAGTATCCCGAAGAAAGGCCGTATTAAACTTGTGTGATGTTGTCCTCATCGCTGTCCAGTGCTTCTTGAGTTTCAGTTTCATTTTGGCGATCAGCAAGTGGTGATCTGAAGCTATATCAGCTCCTCTCTTGGTTCTCACATCCTCCATGGTCCTTCTGAACTTTTTGTTGATACAGATATGGTCAATTTGGTTTTGAGTAGTGTGGTCCGGTGAAATCCATGTGGCTTTTTGAATGCGTTTGTGCGGGAATATTGTGCCGTCGATTACCAGTTTGTTGAAGGCACATAGGTTTGCAAATCTCTCACCGTTTTCGTTCCTTTCTCCCAATCCATGTCGTCCCATGATGTCTTCATATCCAGTGTTGTCCATTCCAACCTTGGCATTTAGGTCTCCCATTAAAATCATCAAATCCTTTGGTGAGCATCTCTTGACAATTGACTGCAGCCTTTCGTAGAATTGATCTTTATCGTCGTCATTGTAGTCGTTGGTAGGTGCACAACATTGGATGACGTTCATTGTAATGTCCTGTTTCTTTGTTTTGAATGATGCTTTAATGATCTTTGGTCCATGAGATTCCCATCCTATTAGTGCCTTTTGTGCATGTTTGGACAGCATCAGTGCAACTCCTTGTGTATGTGAAGCATTTTCCTCTTCATGTCCAGAGTATAACAGCAGTTCCCCTGAAGGTAGTGTCTGTTGCTCAAACTGCGTCCAATGTGTTTCACTGATTCCAAGTACCTCGAGTTTGTATCTTTTCATTTCTGCCGCGACTTGAAATAGTCTTCCAGTCTCCCACAATGTACGAACGTTCCATCTACTTAAAAGAATGGTTGCTCTGGTTGTCAGAAGAAGCATCTGCCCCGTGACTTCCGAGGGAACTCGGCTTTCATCACGCGACGTCCTAATTCTTCTTCCAGCTCTCAGGGCAGAGTTGAAATGGTTTGAATTATTTTTTCTTGTTAGCATTTTTTTGGCAAGTTAGTTTTTTGACGGTATGGAGTTGCCAACCCCATGCACAGCCCTCCTCCTTTATCCAGCAGTAGCCCTGAAGGGTCTTCAGGCGGAGTTATATGGCAATATTAACAAGCTAAAATTGTCAACAGCCGGTCAGAAAACAACAAAGTTAATTGTTGCAATGTGAATTCAACAAATATCGCCGACGTTATTCTTTGAAACAAAGAACTAATGTCTAATAACGAAAATCAGATAACCTGAGATTTCTCACAGTAGACGGGTCCCAAATGAGACAAAGTGAGTATGTTGGATTCCACTGCTAGCCGAATCCCTTTTCTGCTAACATTTTATAAAAAAGGTTCTGTCGGGACAATTCACACCAAGACTAGTCAAAATTCAACGAAAAATTTTAAAGGGATTGTTCAGATTAAATTTTACGCTTTTGTATATGTATGATTATTTTTCTACGGTTGAATCGGACACTCAATGGATAGATACCTTTTTAGTAACAAATTCCAGACACTCTGGTCTATTTATATTTTGGTTCAATCATTTATGTAGTAATCCACACTAGTACCTACAATCGTTATTCGACTGGATTACTCAGTATACAAGAACCTAAAGTAACAGGCATCTTGGCTAATAAACAATATACAGTCCTGACCACTGTGCTAAACTAGCAGCAGTTACAGCCATGCTGCACCCTCATCACTTCGGTATGAATAGACAATTAGTATCAGTCAGTCAGTTGCAATGTAGAACTTCGTACGTATGTACAAAAGTTCATGTTGCCATACCACATCAGCACAGAGATGTAATTGTCAATTCAAATCCAATAGTAGAAGAGGTAGTAAAGGTATTAGAAGTAATCGCAGAGGTTAGGATTAGAAGATATTATTCAAGAAGTATGATTCAATGAGAAAAGTTTAGGAAGTCAAAACTAGAGGGGTTGAAGAATCCAGAAGATTAGGATTTGAGAGAACATAAAGAATAAATGCACCGGCGCTATTGCGAACGATTTTGAGCGATGCCATTAAGGGTCTCTAACCATCGATTATTATCATCTCGCGGACCCCGACCGGGTAGTCGACAATTACCAACATGGCTAAGTCCACTCGTCAATGACCTCATGGATTTCTGCCATGTTTTGGTTTGGTCGCCCCTAAATTTCTTCTAACCTACTCCTACACTACAAAACAAAGCTCATCGAGGCAGACGGTCATTACGCATACGAAACACATGTCCCGACCACCTCAACTGATGAAGTTTCACTACTGCGTCTATTGATCTGCCATCCTTAACTAGTACCCGTTTTCTAATAACAGCGTTGCTCACTCGGGTGTCCCACGATATACGAGCAATGCTTCGAAGACACCTATGATCGAAAACCAATAACCGACGAATATCTTCTACTCTGACTGGCGATGTTTCACAGCCATAAAGTAGGACGGAGCGAACTACTGCGCAGCGCACTCATCCTTTAATCAGCAAACGGATATCTCGCCTGCATGCATAGGTGATGCAGGCTGGCAAAAGCCAATGGAGCCCTCTGTATTCATGCTGAGATTTCGTCAGTCACCAGGCCATCGGCACTGATGAGGCTCTCAAGATAAGTGAATCGGTCTACACGCTCGACTACTTCACTCTCTGTCACTAGTTCAGGTGCCGATGAAACCCAATCTTGAAGCAAAATTTTGCATTGTTGCTTAGGGTAATCAGAAGACTGCATTTCGTCAGCATCTTCACCAAGTAGGACAGTGTCATCGGCGTATTCTAGGTCAGTAAGCAATTTTCCTGGTAGAAGGTCAACCCCTGAAAAATCTGACGAGCTAAATTTTAACTGTAAGAGGATATCTACGACAAAGTTAAACAAGAATGGAGAAAGTGGACATCCCTGACGAACACCACTTGAAGTAGAGAATTCCGATGACAGTTCTCCATAAGCTCCCACTTGACCAGTAGGGTTCGAGTAGAGAGCTTGTGTAAGGTTTATGTACTTCCTTGCTACGCCTTTCAATGACAGACACTGCCACAGAACCTCGCGATCCACTGAGTCAAATGCCGCCCTAAGGTCCAGGATAACAACTATTGTAGGACGCCTAAATGTGTGTCTGTGTTCCAGGACCTGTCGTAGTGTGAAAATGTTGTCTATACAACCACGTCCAGTTCGAAAACCAGACTGGTTTTCTCGAGTCTGCTCTTCACGAGCTTTCGTTAAGCGTCGAAGTATTATTGAGGCCAATATTTTGGATACTATAGTAGTTAGACTTATTTCTCTGTGATTGTCACAAGAAGACTTTTGTCCTTTCTTATAGATTGGGACAATCAAGGATTGAGACCAGTCAGATGGGATTGCGTCTAGTTCCCAGATTCTACCTAAGATCTCAGTCAACCTAGCTGCTAAAACTGGACCACCATCCTTATATATGTCAGGGGTCAATCTATCAGGACCTGCAGCCCGTCCTCGTTTCAGATTTCCTAACGCTTTTTCAGCTTCATTAAGACTAGGGGGACTTACGTCGATTTGTCATTCAGGATGACCGGAGATCGTGGGTAACTGAAAAGTGGCTTGAGGCCAGTTGAACTGATCCCTAAAGTGTTCTGTCCCGTTTCCTTGATAAGTCGGAAAAGTTGTCTACTGTTGCCGATCACCACTGCCTTTTCCATCGCTTTTGCTTTGGCGACCCACCACTGTTCACGGTCTTTGCGCAGGCATTTTATGAGCCTTCGCTTAAGCTGACTTTGTTCTTCATCATGTTCAGAGCCAGGTGGGATGAGTTTTTATTACCAATAAATAAAACTCTTAGAGACTTTCTTATAGTGTCTTTCTTACGTCCAGTGATCTAGTTGGGTCCAACTTTGAGACGACTTTGGGGGTCGCCAGGTCAAAAGGTGCTTTTCCTTATGCCTAAAGTTAGTGTTTGCTAAGAATAGGCGGTTATCTGAGCATAGTTGCAACAGACGGTCGACATTGTGTGTTCTTTGAGCCGCGACACCATAACATCCACCAAGGTGTCTTTCATTCTCGCTTAGTCTACCTACTTGAGCATTGAAGTCACCAGCCATTAGAACTATATCAGAGCGCTTAACATTTTGGAGGAGGTCCGAAAGCTTTCTGTGGAACTCATCTTTCACCTCGTCTGAACTGGAGTCAGTGGGGGCGTAGGCTGATATGACGAAGAGGCAAGGACGAGTTTCCTTATCCTTTCGAATCCTTACTGTGCCGTTTAGTCGAACAGCGCACAAGCGATTATCTACAGGGATCCAGTCTAGGAGAGATAGTTCTGCCCTGCGACTCAATACTATACCTACACCAGCGAGACCCCTGAAAGCAGCATCAGGGATCCTGGATACACGAAGAGTAAATTGGTCTGCTTCTTTATTTTGACAAGGTGAAATCAGATTAATAATTTTACTAGGATCCTGTATGCGCGTTTCCGAGACGCAGCATACATCGATTGAGCGAGATTCTAATGTTCTAGCTAAGGAAGCCTGTTGCCCTATTTGATATAATGTACGTTCATTAAATGCTCCAACATGTAGTCTAGAACGGGATTTAAGGAGACCAGGAACGACGTTTCGTGAACTCGCATCTTTTGCATAAGCTGTGCAGTGTGTTGAAGGAATGTGAGTAGAGTTAGTTGTGGAGAGACGGAAATCCGTGAGGTAGTATCATTACTTTTGACATAGGTAATATGTCATAAATACACATACATGTGCTTGAGACTTATTATTACTATTATTAGTAATTTTAGTGACATATATATATATATATATATATATATATATATATATATATATTTATATATATAGTAACGAGTATTTGTATATATTGTGGTACCCAAATATGCTCTCTTTACTATTCTCCCCTTCTCGCTCAATTGTCCAGCTTGTTGGTTAGTGTATATCACATTTAGATCTGTGCAATCGTACATCATAACAATTAAAATATTCGCATGTATTTCCCGTAAATTCTATTTTTGTTTGAATTTTAGACTTGCGATTGTATTTTCTGACATTCCAATCAGTAATCTTCATGATTGTCGTAGGATTTGTATATTTATCACATTTCAATGAAATATTATTATCTCAATACATTAATTCTGTTCGTAACGTTGTTGAGAGTGATAACAGTAATGTGAGTGCACACCGGCAGAATTATCAAAGTCACATGGGATTACAGTATCGATTTAACGATATGCTTGGTCATCATTCGACACTTGAATTCTCAATGATACAATTCACTATTAACTCATACATAGCTCTATTGGCATTTGTTTACTCTCCACCAAATAGTGCACACATAGGTAAGATTAGTTTTATAACTGAAATATGTTGTGATGTGTGTTCAAATTACCTCCAGCCTATCGTCTTGTCCCAGCTTGTGGACAAATTAAGTAAACCATTCTTCTCGAGTTATTATTCACACATCTTTTAGCCTTGTGAATTATTCGCCTATAATCTTGGTTTTGTGTGCATTTTGTTTATTCGCTTACCACATGTCTGATTTATTTTTATCTGGCTAGAAATAGTCATGCTTCATCGCATTGAGTTGGCCCACTCGCCTCCTTCACATTTTTTCGCTTTGCCTTTATGCTTGGTGCTCTCATGTCTACTTGCGTGAACAATCGCATGAAATAAAATCATGCACCTGAATCCGTATATGGCTTCTTTATTATCACCGCCGCACAAACTGAAGAGGCGATTTATTTCATAGCATTTTCGATCGGATTGTAGTCCGAAAATGGGCCACTAAAATTTGTTATATATTTGTTAATTGAATGATTTTACTCTATGAATATTTCACATAAAAATTTTGTCAATCATATTGTAAAAATGAATTGCGAACGTTTATTGCTCATGTTGATATTTTTTAAAATATTCTATCAGTTAGTCATGATCAGTGGTTAGAGCTCGGCATACATTTGCTCTGACCGAATGTTTTTGATATCAGTTATCAAAACAAGATGAATAATGTAATAAATAGTACACTTGACAGGATCATTTCACTCGCACACTATGAAATTGCTACCGTTAGTCTTATTGTGCTGTTCTTCATAGCCTAGTTTTATCTTTCACACGAATAATAGTGTACTTAGTTTATTTGTAAGGATCTATGTGACAGATATAGATATTTTACTATTTTAGTATAAATTACAATTTTATGTGTTAATAAATTTAAGTTTTATTTTTCTGATTATATAGAAATGGATGTAAAAGATGATCCATCATTATCAATGATAAATGATTCTGATGAAGATGTAATTTATGAGTAAGTTTTGTATGTTGAAAATAAAACTTTAATGTATGGTTTATACAGAATAGATAGAATATGGCTAACTGTGTAAACGAGCACATCTGTTTCATTGTATTTGCGATTGATGAGTTGAATGTACCTGCCTTACAGAATTGATGTAATTTAAATGTCTGATGCGTTATCAACAAAGGAAATATTCAAACCACCATATAGAAATTCATTTCCGTCGCCTTAGTGGGTAAATGATGCGGTGAAGTTTAAAGCGAAAAGTGCTGGTATTGGATCGGAATCGTGGACCAAATGTCAATTCTAGGATCCAGGCGCATTCATCTGACAAGTCACAAACAGAACAAAAGGTGTGTTCTGGATCTTACTGCTAACCGTATAATATCTTCTATATGTAAACTTGTGATAATCCACTTAAGGTGCAAATATATCAATTATGAATGATAGAAATTTAGCACAAATATCAACAAAGGGATGATCAAAACCTCTATAAATTAAATTAAATTTGTTTTTATACCATAAATATAACGAGTTGATCACCTCCTCTAAAGGTTAGATAGTTTTATTAGTTTGTGGTGCATGGACTACAGAACTCCAGTATGTGTTTTAGAAAAACGTTTGTCACTATATTGGGTTGAAACCCATGTTTTATCGTCATATTAATCATGACTGAAAAAATTCTTTCATTCTAAATGGAGGGCTACCATTCATGTCCATTTCATGTCTATATAATATGAAGACATCTATTCGCGAAGTCTTGAAGTATCCTTTATTAAAATCTCTAGAGGCCGAGAAATGCCAAGAATCGTTTTATCCAGTTGGCGTTGAATATTATTATTACAAATATCTAGAAGGTGCAGAACCTTGTGTTGTTTGCCCACACTGCTGTTATATTTAGTATGGTTAGAGAAACTCACAGAGGCCCGAAATCCTGTGTAGTTCTATAAATACCCTCGTTTATTTTCTGGATATGGATTAAACGTGGAATAAAGGTGTTAGTCACAATTCGCCCCTACTTCCTATTGTTCCAGTTAAAGTGTAGAAGTATAGCCTAGTAGAAAGACAGTTTAGGCGTCGCGTTAGCAATAATTGTCATACGAGATTAGCCAAACCTAAGTAGACCATTCAATATTCAAGCCCATGTTCTGTTAGTTGAAAGTCAAAAAGCTGTGTACTAACAAACTGTTGGGGGATGTTAGATCCCCAGAACTTGCTTGATAAATATCTTTATTTTGAATTTATTTCATGTGCCGATCAGTTTACCTTGAGATCACATTTCCCACCAGGAAAATCCTTGGCTGTGATTGGTTACTGTGTCATTTTAGTGTGCTGTTTTTGTAATTGTCCCAAGGACGTCTCCATAGAGCATAAATAAACGCAATTCGAGTGCTTGGATTCATTGTGTGCTGGCTAGATGTTTGTAGAATACAATTTCTACGCTATATCAAGACTTCTTGCTGATACCTTTTGGTCAAGGGATCACAGTAGCCTACCTGGACGCTGGTCCATTGTTTTCTCATTATTCGACTAGGGTGAACTCGTAATAGTTTAGTCGCATACCTAGAGGCGAGCGTAACACAAACCATAGTTTCATTGTCAAAAGAAAAAAGATGGTGTTCTTCTGATTGTTAAAACGTTCAAATTCATGTTCATTGAGGATAATACTTACGCTAATTGCTTTTTTATTGATTAGCGAATTGTATACCACTTTTCTTCACTCTTTCTATGTTCTAAGTGCGAAGTTAAACTGAATCGTGAAATTTAACAGCACTCCAAATACATATAGTATATCATTTTTCTTGAACAGTCTCAGTCGGACCATGACACAAATTATTGAATTAGTTCGCTAATAAATATGGAATTAGATTGACAACAAGTTCAATAGCTATCATCTCCCCCTTCCATCCGCCATACCTTATGCCTCACTTGATTCTATGAATTTCATGAAATAACTCCTATTCTGTAAGTGGAATAAATTATTATTATCTCGTGAAATGATTTCGACCAACATCAAAGTACAATATGAAAACGACAGAGTGATTTGTGGTAATTACTTCAATGGTGAAATAGATTCCCCTATCAAATTAATAAAACCGCATAACAGCAACATATATCGTAATCTGAAGGAGAAAATTTTTTTTGCATCGACCAACAGTCTATAATGCTGAATTTCAATTAGATTATTTTTTATTAGAGCAGTAGTGTAATTCATTGTATTTACACGCTGTTGCCAAGATACAGATTGGATCAAAAGCGTGTTTCGTGAAGTATCATGTCGAAGCATACTGATTGGTTCATTTTCAGCCATTCAGCGCAAGCGGATAGTTGTAGAAGTCTCTATAAAATCTTTGTGTACAATTATAAACTATTGGCGTCTTTCTTACTAGGATTAACTCCCATTCAACTTAGTTTATTTGGACTAGAATTACGTACTTGTTCAAGTTTAGCCTGGTTTCGGGAACTAGTCGAGCAAGGTAGAGCGTCTGGAAAATGTTAAGTAATAAGAACATGTGGATCGTATGAAGAGGTCTTAACATACTCTGTGACGTAATCATTATTTCTCTGATTCTGATTGAAGTCATAACAAAAATTTCATATCTATTTAGTGAACATATTTTTTATATCTGCTGAAAAATAAATCTACTGTATATGTTCTTACGTTTCCACTTTCTCTATTACAGATCAGATACTGAGACTAAAACTTTTTTATTCTCTCGACCTATGTAGTAGTAATGATTATGATGACGTAAGATTCGTGTAATCAAATCATGCATTCGAATTCTCAGCGTATTCCTAGAATTAACTTGTTTCGTGTTCAACACACGTATACACATTTATACAAATCACTGAAACACACCATGATGTTACCTCTCTCTTACACGCACATATTACTTGATTTTTATTGAGGACTTAATCTAGTTAGTTTTTTTGTTTGCATTTTGGATTCACCGGCTGTTTTCTGACCTTCAGTCAAATCATTTTTATTTATGGTATGATGTGGTGTTTTATAAAGTACTCTACTCCAAAAGATCATTACATTACGCTACAGTTTTCGGCTCATTCCAATCCGATTCAATTTGTTCACGATCACAATCCATTGCATTCAAAGAAAGAAATCTATTGTAGAATAAAGCATCGACAGTGTAAACAAAACTTCAACTTAATCAGTGAATTATTCGTATAGAATTTTCTCTACATTTATGTTGGTTGATTGTACAGATAGTTGTTGTTATTATTTGTCTTTGCATTGATTTAACAATCATCAGTCAACTGTGATATATTTATATACATATGCGTATATATGTTGCTTTTCCAATGTCTATTTTTTACTAGTTTTCTGCATTTACAAAAGAAATATATATTCATTTTGTTGTATCGATCATCACCTTTATTCAGTTTCTATATATATATATATATATATATATATATATATATATATATATATATATAATTGTAGTTTTAGTGGGTTGCGTTAAAATGAAAGTACAGTTCACCACTTTAGTGACCAGCAATCTGACTCCGATATTTATGAATAATTAAAGATGCTATGAAATAAATCTTCCTTTCCATTTATGTATATCACATTTAAGTGAACACCGTTTCACTGACGGTGGTAATAAAAAGCCAGATACGGTCTTACGGATGGATTTATTTCAAGCTGACAAACATGAGGATAAAAAGCGTACAAGTGACTACACTACATAATCACAATAAGGTTTTAAAGTAACGAGGAATTTACCAGATGTTTATTTAATTTCAATGATTCCTCAGCTGATTTAAGTCTATTTGACAACTACAATGATAATTCTTACTTTAAAACTATCACTTAAAATAATATCATTGTAATGATAAGTGCAGTTAGTAAATATAAAACTCAAGTACAGAACGTTCTACTGATAGCTCAGATCTATTCAAATGAATATATCTTTGGGATTGTGGAATTAACTTTTGGAAATTGTAATGAGCATGGTCATATCATTTGAATGCTAGCCTTAGCACACTAATTCAGTTGGTAAAACGTAGCTGTCTAATTTACACATCTCTTGTGTACGACTACCTATCTCCATAACTTCACCAACACCTACTGGTGAAAAAAGAATTCACAACCAATCCATCACATTATACCACTTACTGGTATGCTGTAACCAGCTGCAATTGTAGTAGCAGCGTATTATGTCTACTAGTATTTACGTGTTATTTCATTACATAAACTAATGAAGATTTATCTGTTATTGCAATTCCATCTTCCTTATACTTGCATCAGTTGCATTAAATTCTGATGTCTTCGTTGAAAAATTGTTGCAACGACTTATTTTTCTGATTGGATTTTGTCATTGTCTGAAACTGCAATTTTCATATAGCTGTCATATATATAATCGTACTTTGCTGTAAACAAATATATGGTTCCATTTAAAAGCATTCTTCTTTGATTTTATGAAAACTCTTTAGATACCATAGGCACTATAGCATCAGTAGTGTCCTAGCCAGTTCATCCTACAAACCAGTCAATGAATGTCAAGCTGATTAAACACTATCGGCAAGTAACTGGTTCCACCTTGTATTTCAGTTAACCGTTGATATTAATATCTGCTGTTACCTATTAGGAGTATTAATTCTAGTAAGTCACCCGGTTTTGGTATAATTCAGATTTCGACGTCTGCTAGGAGACTACACCATTCCCGTCAGACGCGAGTCGGCCCGCAGCCATCAACAAAGATTACCTACGTTGGTGACTTATAACACTAAAAATTGAGGCTTGTAAATCATTCGACACGTTTTCATAAAAGCGGATTCGTCCTGCAATGATCTGATGTTTATGACCCCCATTCTTTTATGCGCCACCTAATTGCATGGTCAGTGACACTAAAACAGTGAAAAAGTTATGACGGGAAATAAGCAGGTGGATGTAGGGCGATTAATTGTATGTAACTCCTAGAACATATATTGGACATACACATACAACATAAAGAATTCTATTATTATTTTCACAAGAATTCTGAAAGAAAATAAGACCCATTTACTGTACGTGAATTTATTACATTCACAAAAATCGTTTGCGTACATCCATTTACTGAAATATTAGCAATAACTAAAGTGAGTTACATGATCGAGCAAGAAACTTGCACAGAGTTGTTCCTTCCATGGTGTGGGCAGCCGGGAAGTGACATCCGCCCTAACACCCTTAAAAGCACACGAGGCCAAATCGGTCACAATCAAATCCTTTCTATACCTCTTAATAACTCGTATTTTCTCGACCAACACATCATTCGATCGTTTATCACCTCACGCCACTGCAGCAAACTATATGAGCTTATAGTGTTTCGTACGACTCACCGTAATTACTGCGTATTCGAATTTGTAGCTCACCAGTATAGCGATTCGAACGATATACTTCGCGCGAGAACAAATGTTACTCCCGGACTCAAAGAATCAAGAAAGAAACAGATTCTAGGGGAAGAAGTATATTTGATACTGGCCTCGTAATATTGAAATAATATCAAGGCAAGAGGGCGTACAGAAAGCTAACGTCCACGCAGGAGACATGCGAAAAGGGGAATGCGCATAACATTTAATTTACAGACATTGTGTCAAATAGGGTAACAGACATCCTTGGCTAGGACTTGAGTCTCGCGCCATCGATGTATGCTGCGTCTCAGAAACACGCATACAGGATCCGAGTAGCGTCATTCACTTGACCTGACTATGTCAAGATAAAGAAGCAACTCGATTTATTCTTCGTGTATCCGGTGGCACGGATGCTGCTTTCAGGGGTCTCGCTGGTGTAGGCATAGCATTGAGTCGTAGAGCAGAACTACTTCTCCTAGACTGAATCCCAGTAGATAATCGCTTGTGCGCTGTTCGACTAAACGGCACAGTAAGGATTCGAAAGGATAAGGAAACTCGTCCTTGCCTCTTCGTCATATCAGCCTACGCCCCCACTGACTCCAGTTCAGACGAGGTGAAAGATGAGTTCCACAGAAAGCTTTCGGACCTCCTCCAAAATGTTAAGCGCTCTGATATAGTTCTAATGGCTGGTGACTTCAATGCTCAAGTAGGTAGACTAAGCGAGAATGAAAGACACCTTTGTGGATGTTATGGTGTCGCGGCTCAAAGAACACACAATGTCGACCGTCTGTTGCAACTATGCTCAGATAACCGCCTCTTTCTAACAAGCCAGCTCAGGCGCAGGCTGATGAAATGCCTACGCAATGATCGCGAACAGTGGTGGGTAGCGAAAGAAAGACCGATAGAAAAGGCAACGGCGATAGGCAACAGTGGACTACTACTATTCAGACTCATCAAGGAAACCGGTATTAGGAATCCTATTGTAAGTGAGACTATCTCAGAAAAGAATGGGACGATTATTCATCCTCAATCCAGGAGATTAGATCAATGGGTAGAACACTTCAATGATCAGTTCAATTGGCCTTCAGACACACCTCGGTTGTCCACGATCTCCAGTCAACCTGAATAGAAAATCGACGTAAGTCGTCCAACTCTTTAAGAAGTTGAGAAAGCTATAGGATATCTGAAGCAAGGGAGAGCAGCGGATCGTGATAGACTTACCCTTGAGACTTTTAAGGATAGTGGTGGAGTTTTAACAGTTAGATTGACTGAGATCTTAGGTAGAATCTAGGAACTGGGTGTAATCCAATCTGACTGGTCTCAACCGCTGATTGCCCCAATCTATAAGAACGGACAAAATTCCTCTTGTGATAATCACAGAGGAATCAGTCTAACTTATGTAGTGTATAGATTGTTCGCCTCATTAATACTTAGACCAATCCTGGAACACTGACACACATTTAGGCGTTCGATAATAGTTGTTTTTCTGGACCTCAAGGCGGCATTAGTGTTAGTGGGACATAGATAGAATTAAAGCATGACTACGTTGCTGCGCGCTGATTGGCTAATTTCCTATCCAATCAGCGCCTGATCGATTCTTGGAGAACAGGGTAGCTAATTCTCGTGTTGCTAGCTGCACTCCGATTTGCTAAATCTAATCCAGTCGACCACGTGAAATACTATTAAGAAGCTTCTCATGTAAATGCTATGAAGATACTAACGTTGTATCTATTTTCGCCTTCGTCTTCGCCATCACATTTGGCTTCTTTTTCCATTTAACCTTGCTATTTGGAATTTGAAATTTTCCTGTTCCACCGTGTTTTTGATTCTTTGGAACTTGTCCAGTGTATTGTGGTCAGAGAATACTAAGCAATAGGAATTCGTCGGCAGTTATTTAAGCGGGCGTTTCAACAATTTGACTCAGTGGATCGTGAGGTTCTGTGGCAGTGTCTGTCATCGAAAGATGTACCAAAGAAGTACATTATCCTTATACAAGCTCTAGTGGAACGCTTATACGAAGAAAACACGATTTGTAAAAAATAAACATTATTGTACATCTTTTGTTTTACTGTACCAAAGATACTTCTTCCACTTCTTGCGCGCAACGTTTTCTTCGCTTTGCTGCCATTTTTCTCTGTTTGCTGTTCACGATGTAAAGCCTGCTGTCTCCTTCAATAAAATCTTGGAACACTTATTTGTTTTGACATGAATGACGGGTCCGTATGGAACATGTAGGGGTGAGCATAGTCAATCTGGTATCTTGACACGCTCACTTCAAGTCCATTTCTAATCACATAATCTAGGGGTATTAGATAATCAAATCTGTTACGTCACACAATTTTTCTTGCTCTATCGTAAATGTGGTCAAATCATACCGAAATAAGGCTTCAGTGGCTGACCCTCGCAGTAATAAGATAGAAAAGAAAACATCTGTCATTCGGTACCCAATTTGGTCTGAATATCAGCCCTGTGCCGAGGAATCAATTTGTGTTACTGAATCTGTAACAGCGTTATTTTTCACCTTGAGAATTCGGGGTATACGCCGATTAACAAATTCAGGTTTAATGTAGATGATTAGTGTGATAAAATTATCCACGCCTTTACATCTGATAAATTCACTTACTAAAATGCTGACGGCCAAGAAGACCATGCAGAAGATTATCCACAGATATAACTACCAATTGCAGGAAACGACGAAGGATAAATAACTATGCTGAGTGAAGTTTTGTTACCGACAATTAGGACCCTAAATCACATGCACGGGATAGACCATATTTAACAGATAAAGATTTCGAAGTGCCTCACCATTTGATTCACGGACCCAAAATCCAGATCGATATTAGCCATACCTAGACCTAAAGCCTAGGCCTATTTGAAATGAAGCATACATGGGTTTACGAAGTCTTCTTGCGTAGATTGTAGTGGTGACTGTGGAGGTATGCAGTCATCAGATAACTATTATTATTTCCTAATGGCAAGCATCTGGTGTGTGCATACTGTACAAAAAGTTAATCACAGTTAATTCACATGATG